GAGAGGAAACAGGAGGGGGAGGATGATGAACAGCGCGAGGAGTGAGGAGGAGTGGAAGGAGGGAGAAGACGACGAGCGGGAGGAGTGACAGGAGGAGAAGTGTGATTAGGGGCAGGAAGAGAACGAGTGGGCGAAGGAGGAGGAGAAGCAGGAGATGTGGGAGGAGGGGCAGGACAATAAGCGGGGCGAGGACGATGGTGAACGGAAGGAGGCAGAGGTAGAGGATGCTCAAGGACAACGCCCGAGGGGAGGAACAGGAGGAGGAGGGGGGGGGAGCAGGACGGGTGGAACGAGGAACGGGAGGAGGGGCAGGACGATGAGCAGGAGGAGAACGATGGTCAACCGGGGGCGGAGGGCCCAGGGGAGAACAACGGCTAGCTGGAGGAGGTCGGCGAATGGAAGGAGGAGGAGATCGAGCGGCCTTGGGAGGAAGAAGCAGGAGGAGTGGAATGAGGAGGATGACGACCACTAAGAAGCAGGAGGATGACAAGTGGGAGAAGGACGACAACAAACGAAAGGACTGGAGGGAGGAGGAGTGGAATTAGGACGGAGACGACGAGCGGTAAGCGCCAGGAGGAGGAGCGGGAGGAAGGGGGGGGAGGAGGCAATGGAAGGGAGATTAGGAGGACGGCAAGGGGAGGAGCGGTAGGAGGCTTGCACAACAAGGATGGGAAGGACGATGAGCAGGAGGATGGCCAGCGGGACGAGGAGGAGCCAGAAGTGGAGGACGAGGAGCACGATGACCGGGCTCCTGCCCCATCTCCACCTCCCGTCCTGCCCCTCATCCTCCTGCTCCTCCTGCTCCTCCTCCTGCTCCTCCTGTTCCTCTCTCTCCTTCCGCTCTTCCGCTCCTCACGTGCGAAGATGAGTAGACGAGAAGCGGGAGGAGGAGGATGACAAGGAGGATGACAACCGAGAGGAGGGGTCGACAACAAGCAGGATGAGGAAGGGGGGGGAAGCAGGAAGTGGTCATTGAGGAGACGCCGGATGAGGAAAAAGAGGATGAGGTAATGGAGGAGGAAGTTAGCGGGGAGGAGGAGATTGCAGGGGGTGGCAGTAGGACGTGTGGAGAGTGTGGCATGAGGAGGACGGGGTGATGGACAAGGAGTGGGACAATGGGTCGTTTGTGCTTCGGGATTTTCTTCTAAGTCTTTTTTTTCTGGAAAGAGAGAGAGAGAGAGAGAGAGAGAGAGAGAGAGAGAGAGAGAGAGAGAGAGAGAGAGAGAGAGAGAGAGAGAGAGAGAGAGAGAGAGAGAGAGAGAGAGAGAGAGAGACTCAAACTGCCAGAAACTGGCATGGGTACGACGACCGATGGTTCCGACAGAGCGGGCCTCGCCGAGATGGATCTGGCTGGTACAACTACCCCGCCATGGGGAAAGAATGAGCTCCTGCAACGGGTCGACGATACAAGGGTTCAGTGGTTTAAGGGTTCGACAGACTGCAGCTTGGAAATTGGGAAGCCATGGTGCACGACTCGCTGCGAACATGAGCTGCTCTGCGCCGCGCTCTTAGGCTGACGAGACGAGATGCGATCTTGTACAGCATCTGCAACTTCTGCGCGGTCGACAATGCAAGACAGAGCGGGTTTCCGCGCCATGAGACTACGATGTGGGAGTTGCGATGCCATACTGCACTGCTGACCGCAGCCACGAGCTGCACTGCACTACACTCTGAGGGAGGCCTCGCCTGGGAATGCATGTTCGTGCCGGCCGCTCTGCTCATGGGCCAAAGAGGCGGAGCTGCTCTCATGCTACCAATGGGACTTTGTATAACATCTGTAATTTTTGTAAATGGGACTACGGCCACGCTTCCCAGCAGGTGCACCTCCCCACCAATAGATGGAGCCTCCCAAAGGCCAGCTTGATATGTCTGCTCCTACCAGCACCTCAAGCTGTCTCTGGGGCTGTTGCACCCAAAAAGAGAGAGAGAGAGAGAGAGAGAGAGAGAGAGAGAGAGAGAGAGAGAGAGAGAGAGAGAGAGAGAGAGAGAGAGAGATGATTGTGCTCCTATTAGCGAGGCGTAGGTGTGCGGAACGTGTAGCCACGGTGGGCTGACTTGTTCGAAGAATAGAGGAACATCCTCAAAAAAATAAGGGGGGTGTGGGGAGAAAGAATATAAGTATAAAGAATATATAAGTATAAAGAATACAAGTATAAAGAATATAAGACTATAAGTATAAAGAATATAAGTATAAAATACAAGTACAAAGACCTAGGTGATGGGCAAATTGCAGGGGTCCCCTGTCTAAGCCTAGTGGTAAGTACGTAGTGAAGGTGAATTGAAAGAATTTGAAAGACGGTGAAAGATTAGAGAGAAGAATATCGCATCGTTAAAAAAAAAATAAAAAAAAAATGGTAATCTTTATCCTGTTCTGTATAAAAAAGTCAAAAAAACTTAATACAAGTACCATAAATGATAAATCAGTCCTGAAATTTAAAGGTTACAAGATCCTTTCCTCCCCTACATGCTTTAGCTTTTGTTGCAGCAATAAATGAGGCCAGTGCTAAAGGCGAAATGTCAGCATGCTCATAATGGGAAAAAGCGGGACCCACAGCCCACCTGCTCCAGACCCTGAAGCAGAGCCCTGCCGCCCCCCCTTCTGCATATACACCCCCTTCAACTGAGAGCACAGCGTGGTCCAGAAACAGATCCGAAAATCTTGAAGCATCAGACACATTATATGTACATGATATATATATATATAGTCAAACAGTATATATATCGTCACAAACAGATATATATATATATATATATATATCATCAAATATATATATATATATACCCCTTCTGATGAGTCAGTGACACTCCGACAAAACAGTCTGTCACAGCCCCTCGTTTGTTGTCCTCTTCTCCCTCTCTGCCTGTCGTTTACCACGCAGCTCTGTTTGACTATATATATATACATATACATATATACATATATATATATCGTCAAATAGAACTGCCCGGTAAACCGTAGGCAGAGAGGGAGAAGAGGACAACAAACGAGGGGCTGTGACAAACTGTTTCGTCGGAGTTTGTATATATATCGTCACAAATAGAACTGCCCGGTAAACCGTAGGCAGAGAGGGAGAAGAATATATCTTGCCAGGAGTTTGCACCGCCAGTCTGCTAGGATTGTCGGGTTGGTGTCGGTAAAGTCGACCACTGACTCTCACTGACTCTCACTGACTCTCACTGACTCTCACTGACTCTCACCGACTCTCACCGACTCTGGGCCATATGGTGAGTGCTTTTCCATCAGTCAAATGCATCCTGGGCAGACTGACTGTCCAGGTTCAACCTCCCGATGAGTCGGTGAAAGTTCGAAGAAACAGTCTGGCGCAGACATGCTTTACTTTCTGGAGTCGTGTGACAATCTGTGTAGCAAATATGACCACACACACACACACACACACAAACAAACACACACACACACACACACACACACACACACACACACACACACACACACACACACACACACACACACAC